TTAAAATCATGGAGAACCATTACTGGAGGGCACACTTCAGTGTCTCTTCATTCAATATCCAACACTGGAAAAAAAGTATCTGTCTGTTTGCTGATAAATTAAGATCAGCAAGACCTCATAGCCTGATACGATTCAAGGACATCTGCTTTTTATTACATAAGTCAACAGCTGGTGTAACTGTCCAGAGTCATATATAGAATTTTTAAGCTTCAGCTTCTGTAACTGTAATGTTATTCAACTGAGTCTCTAACACACAATTACAACTCTGACAACACTGAAGCACTATATGCCTATTTAAGGCAATGTTGGTTGAGATGATCACATACAGCTTCCTGTTTTTCAATGGAAACACAAAGATACAAACCTAAATATAAACACAAAAGGAACATTTTTTTCAAAAAGTCTTTCTTTATGCATACTCTTCCTTTTGTTACTGCTATACTAATTATTAAATCCATAATCAAATTCCCTAATCTAGCAACAGATTTTATTAAAAATTTACTAACAAATACAGGCATTAAAATGTATACTGTATAAAGAATGAATAGCCACAGCACACTTACATGTGTAACAAATAAATACTGTACTTTTAAAGTTTAAAGCATAATTTAACCATTTTAATAAGAAAAGGGCTATTATGAAAATCAGAACTCACTCCTAACTTGCAGCTGACCCACAAATACCTTAATTCATAAACAAATAACTTAATTCACAAATGACTTGACACATGCACAGATCTCCACCATGCAACCTTGTGTGGCTGTAGAATTCATTTTAGGATACAAAGAGGACTAAAGAGATGCCTACATTACTTGGGTAACTGGGTTAATGTATTTGTTTTTGCTGCTAATAACATATTTTGCATATATTATATTCACAGTTTCTGACATTTCGAGAAAGGTTTACAAAACGAAATGTGTGACACATATACTGCTCACTGCCTGTCTTGGCTTCAGCAACCTCGGTAGCCCAAACCCAATAGTCATTTCCTAGATCATGAGTCCTAGATACAGACAAATATATGGACATTAAGCCATCAGAGACAGTACCAGTGAGAAATGTGTTCCCCTTCAAAACAGTGCTGAACTGCAACTCCCACTATCCATCACCATTAGCTATGCTTGCCTCCAGCTTATCAGAGATACAGGCCAGAAACATCTTGATGTTCACATTTCTCCTTCCCAATGTAGATGGAGCCACTTCCTCTCCTTCAATTATGAACTACATCATAAGGATGCACAAGGATTTTGAGTACATCAGGTAAAAACTCCCTTATTCTGCTCCTAATCTTCTGAGGTGCTTTACAGAACAAAAATAATCACTAACTTGAGAAAGCCATAAATAATTTAATTTTTGAAACCCATACTCATTAACTCTCTGTAACATGTATCACTTAGGAATAATTTCTTATATGGCTGCTCACTGAAATGCTTCTCTTTGAAAGGCATTCAACCCATGTATCAAATGAGAATAGAATGGCCAACACTCTCTTGGTGTAACTGCTCTGCAAGCTGGATGACATTATCCTCCACCAACGGGAATATTTAATTTAAATTAAATGAAAACTTCTTAGCCCCACTGGCCTTCTTGGGAGGGCAACCAGCCAGCAACACTCTGAACATATATGGCAAGGCCATGCCGTACTTGTACTGCCTGAGGCAAGCTGAAGTCCCAAAGTTCTACCAGAAAGAGGGACTGGTAACCCACTTCTGAGTACTTTCATACCTAGAAAATGCTGGGAAAGGCACTGGAAGTCAGAACCAGCTTTTTAAAAAAATATATACATAATTACTGTTAGAGCTGCATCCATTTTGCAGTGAAGTGTTCAGTCCATTAATATTTTTAAAATGTAGTCTTTCAATAGATATTTTTAAACACTATGCACAGTCCCTTCCAAAGTATACAGATCATGGTTTCCTTTTATCATGCCCAAGTGAAACCATGAAAAGGAACCAACAAAGGAAATGAGTTATCTGATTAGTACAAAAGTTTGAGCCACTGGCTTGAACAAACTGGTTGTCAGAAATAATACTTTGATCATACACTGCAAAAACAGTCACCTGCAGAAGCATACATCAATGCCTTACAGCAACTGCTACCTTTAAATTAGCAACAAAGCACTAATTTAATATAGTTAAGTAATTTTAAAATGCTCATAATAGCAATATATGCTATTTTATATTCATGTGTTAGACACAGAGGCTCTATTCCTTTAGCAGAAGTGTTGCTTTTTTGAAACAGAAATCAAAAATTTGGATCCAATGAAGAATGTATTTTTAAGGCTATATTATTTGTTTTCTTTATTATTCTATCTGGAACTACTGTATGACATCATATCTAGAGTTTTCAATTTGGATAGGGAAGAACATTTTAGATTAAATATTAAAATATTAGAATTAAAGGCTTTAAACATATAGGGGTCAGTGTTGTGTATTTAGTGATTACTTTCTGTAACCACTAAATAAATTTCTTTGCACTTAATCTAAGTGGGAATCAATGCTTAACTATCCTGTTTGTTTGGATGCCATTCAACCACTTTTTATTAGGCAAAACACACACTCCCTTTCTTTCTCCCTCACTCTCTTTTTGTTTCTATCAAGTTAATTTATTTTAAAAAATTCTACACGCCATTATTTTTTATTTCCTAGAATGCTTTCCTATCTTTAGGTCAGCTATGTAAGTGAGAGGGCTGCAATGAGAGAACGGATAAATCACACCCACCCACTTCAAAATGTGTCACTATGGATGGGATTTTTCTGGACTACTATTCCCAGAATTCTTCATTCATTCTTGGAGTTCTACCAGACGAAAGGCCTAAACTAGACAGTGTTGAGGCCTAGCTAGGTCTAGTTCTGCCCCAGCTTTCTTTTTCTGCCCTAGTGCTAGTTGAGACCTTTCTTTCTGAACCGAAAGCTTAGACAGAGCTAGGCCTACCTAAGCTTCAAAGCCTTCCAGTCAAGACCTTTCTCCCAGATAAGCCACATTTAGATGTCTGTCTCCCAGAATGGAGAATTATGGGATCAGTAGTCCAAGAAACCTTAAAATCCTGTTCCTAAGTACAGTGATGCCTCGCTAGACAGTTACCCCGCATGACAGTTTTTTCGCTAGACACTGGCTTTTTGCGATCGCTATAGTGATACACAAAACAGTGATTCCTATGGGGGAATTTCGCTGGACAATGTTTGGTCCCTGCTTTGCAAACCGATTTTCGCTAGATGACGATTTTGACAGCTCCCTCCACGCTCACAAAACAGGTGTTTTCGGGACCTAAGCTTCACAAGACAGCGATTTAAACAGCTGATTGGCAGTTCGCAAAGCGGCTTTCCTATGGATGATTTTCGCTAGACAACGATTATTCTTCCCCATTGGAACGCATTAAATAGGTTTCAGTGCATTCCAATGGGGAAATGCTTTTCGCTAGACAATGATTTCGCTAAACAGCGATTTCAGTGGAACGGATTATCATCATCTAGAGAGGCACCACTGTATCACCAACACAAAGGAAGATCACTGTTATTTTGTTTCTTAAGAAGCCATCTTTCTTCTCCTATTATACAAGAAAAGCAGCACCTAGTAAATAGATAAAGTGCTAAATTAGTAAAGACAGCAAGATTCTTCAGACTTCCATATGACCCTACACAATGAAACAGTTATTTCAAATGTTGGCTGCCTGGACCATAAGGATTTTTACATGCAGCCCAGCTGAGTTGTGATCAGTCCAGCCACCAGCCATAAGTGACAGCCCACTGCAAGGAAATAACCTTCCTCTTTGAAAGAAAAGGGGGAAGGGGGAGAGCTGCAATTGATATGACATGTCTCAAGGTTATCAATCACACAACATACATAGTGCACACACTTCAACAACTAAAGCAGTTTATTCAGTGTTCTTGTAAACAGCTTTACATTTCAAATCCTTTTAATAATTCCAGTAGTATTCACAGCCATGCTCCTCAAGCTAAATATCAAGCTGATGAAACAGCAGAATCAAAATACACTCAAAACTGAGCAACAGAAAAGCTAGACAGATATTGCAGGGGAGAAACATAGCAGACACTATATTGCACAACCAGAAGGTAACAATGCTTAGATTCCAAATATCTTCATGATTGCAGAATCACACTTGCAAACAAAAACTGAGTTTGTTGAATGACCAACCATAAAACAAAGGCATGTTCCCTTGCAGCCTTGAAAAACATAGCATCAGACTAAGCGAACGGAATTTAACCTAATTCTATACTGTCTTTCTATCCTCAGAGTGATTACTAAGAAAGTCCTATCTTCCATAGCCACCCACCTCACCCTTGATAGCTCAAAAGCAAATGACTCTTCAGGGACAGAACAGATGCTTTGATACAGACCTGAGGAAACAGTTCATAATGGTAGAGGTGGTCATTGGGTTCTGCAGATCTATCCTAGGCTGAACTCAACAGGATACAGTATTTTAAAGTATGATTCCAAATTTTAAAGCTTGTAAGTTGCATCATATCCAGAAGAATCTTTAAATAAGTTGCTTTCTTTTAAAATCTGATCTTGGATCAGTGTCAAGACGTGTAAGTAGTACACCATTTAATCAGATATGAAAGGAAAAATGAACAACGATGGGGAACAATTATACTTGACACTCAAAGTTCATGTATTAGAATACCACAGTACAATGTTTCCATTAATAGCAAACTTAAAACAATGTTAATGTGATTAAACTGACAAGAAGATTCTCCCTCCTATTAAAAAAAACAACACAGGGATTATTTGATAATAGGGCAGCACTACACTTATTTTAAAAATTGAGCCCTGAAGGGAAAAGATTTTTAACGATGCAGAGACATTCAAAGTAAACATTTCCACAAAAATCCTGGAAATATGTAGGTCATATTAAGGACTTTTTGCCTCCTAAACCGGTCTTTCCTGCTGCTCAGTCTTTGCAGGGAGATAATAATTCTCTGCTTCTGATATTTCCACAGCAACATTTATGACTATGATGTCATAAACTCAACCCCAACTTCAGAGCAAGATCAAGCACAGTGAGCAGATGGGATGCAAAGAAGAAAGCCCATTTAAAATACAGATCTCTTTCATAAAGAAGAAAAGAGTGCAGGCGCAGAGATTGAAAGGGCCTCATTTTTAAGTATGACATATTCAAAAGATTATTCTACCATGAACATCTATTTAAGGCTAGATCTGCAATACAAGGTAATGACTAAATTTGTTATATTTCATGTTGAATTAATAAACTGAACTTGAAGTAAAAAAAGGATCAGTTATTAGTATTAAATGATAAAATCATTTAAAATAGTCACGGGAATGAAGATGATTACCAATTCCAAGACACAATAGTTTTTTTTTTCCCTTACAGGGCATTTATCATGTCCTTATTTAGTTAAAAAAGTGAATCCCTTGCTATTGCTAAAAGCACATACGGTATCTTTCTACATGGCACTAAAGGGCATTTCAGTGTTAATCTAGCTGCTTCTACCTTGGCTGTGGCTACAGTATGACCACATCTAGTGGCTGAAATCTGTTGGCCCAGCTCCAAGTGTGTAAGACCGATGACCTCATCAGTCACCATCTTTTATCTAATTAAACACACATCCCTCAGGTTTTGAGACTCCCTCAGGATGGAGGTGGGTGGAGGGGGGGGAGAGAGAGAGAGAGTCTTTAATATCTGAAAGTCACTGCCAGCTGTCCCAATTGGGGAATCAGAAACATTTAATTTGCGATGGAAAGCCATAGTTGATGACATCGTCTGCCTTACATGTGCAGAGCTATGCCCACAGAATTTCAGCCAATAAATGACCCAGTCATGTGTGAGCCAGTCATGTGAGTCCCAACTACAAAATCAGCAGCCCACAGAAAATTAGTTTCTAGCTATTCTTACCCCACATCAGAATCTGCCCCAAAAAATAAAAATAAAAAAATACAGACATTATATCTTGTGGCATGAAGAAATTTTACTGGGAAGGGCTAAGGAAAGTGTGGGCTTGGGAATTTCAATACAGAAGTTGAGTTCTATTCTTCCTATATTATTTAATTGAACACCCTGACACATTGGGGTCTAGAATGAATTTTCTAACCATATTGCATTAGCTGGCAGCCCTAGTATGCAGGCCTTACTTAAGCACACCAATTTTTGAGAGATTGCATAATTTCCTGCTATATCCATATTGCCCTCCAATAAGGGGATGTACTCAGAATTGCGTGCCTGAGGAATCAGAGTGCAAATTGTCTGGGTTCACCTCCTAACAACCAATTACAGAGCAAAATACACCAAAGGGAGGAGAATCATTTGCTATTACAAAAATTTTGAAAGCTATAGAGGTTGTTGGTTTTTTTTTTTAAAGTCAGTGTTAGGACAAACAGACATCTTTCACAATTTAAGGGAGCGCTGTTCGAAATATGAGCTCAATTTACTGTGTAGAGTGACCCTTAGAGATTACAAATAAGCAGTAAAAAAGGAATAATAAATAACTTATCTTTCTAGTGCAGTTTATGATAGAGGACTCTCGTTTCTCATAATTCCCACCCAGCCTGGTAACAGGAGCAAGTTCCAGATGGGCGAGTCCCTTGAAACATACATCTCTGCACAGCTTGAGTGCCCATATGCTCTAACTATGGAGATAGATAACAAGGTAAGTAAACATGTAAGGAAGGGATTAGATGTTACTTCTCTTGGAAGTGAGTGGCTGCAATACAGCCTACACTCAAGAAGACATTTGTCTCTGCATGGGGAAGAGGACAGAGAGGGCCTTCTTCAGATTGCCCAGACTATCCTTTATGTACTCTGATCTGTGCTTACTTACTTTCAACCACAGACTGCATAGAGTATTTTACAGTATCTTACCCTTGTTCTCTAGAGATGAAAGGGGTAGCCATGGCTTCTGACATCTCCAACTTAGTTAGCTAGAATTAAAACTTCTGTCACCTTTCCTGTCAAAGTTTCAAAGGACTGAATCTACAAGGTAATATTTCTGTAGGCTTACTCTCTGAAAATTTTAGTACAGTTCCATGTTCATATCAAAGTAGCTTAAATCCCAGTTTGCACAAAATATTGGTGAATGAGCAGACCACAGCCAGAACTCTCTTCTGTTAGCAGAAGGAAATGGTATAACTTGCAGCAGCAGCAAATTGCTGCTAATTAACAAATCTCTGTTTGGATTCTTCATTGGGCATCAATCAAGTGCTTTGGCACACAACCAGGAATCCAAGTGGGGACTTGTTAATTTGTTACTTCAGGTTATGCCATTTCCCTTCTGCCAGAATAACGACATAACAGGATTTTGGCTAATCTGGTACAAAGAACTAGCACGTGGCTTAATGATGATACAGAAGTAACAGCAGAAGCTACATGTTCTAAAAATTTCAAAAACATGTTAAAATGTAGCACCTCTCTGTTGCCATATTCCCTATGGAGTATGATTCACAATTCAGTCCAGCAGCAGCCTTGAACTGCTTTTGTCTCTACCGTCTCTTATATTTTTGTGTGTGTGATTTTTACATTATTGCTTCTGGAAAAAGATAAAAACCCTTGTGGGGAAGTTCTCCTGGCAAAGATATCCTGAATGATTCATCTCAGATAATTAGTGCTATGGAAGGGATGATACCAGAGGATTATTTTCAGCAGCCTCCCATACAAAATAAAATATTTTGTGCTTTAGTCAGTTTTGATAAAATATACAAGTAAGATATAACCAAGAGATTTCATCACAACAATATTTTTCCAGATTGGGACTATGATAAGTGTTTGATTGTTGGAAATATAGAATTATTGATTTCCACTCACCAGAAGCTAAAATTACTAAGCTGAGGCTACTGTACTCTGGACATGTCACAAGAAGACAAGATTCACTAGAACAGACAAGAATACTAGGAAAAATTGAAGGCAGTTGGAAAAGAGGAAGATCTATCGTGAGATGGAGTGACTGAATAAAGGGAACCATGGTCTATATTTTGCAAGACCTAAGAAAGGTTGTTAATTATAGGACCTTTGGGAGGTAATTAATTCACAAGATTGCCTTATATAGGAAGCAGTTTGACAGCAATAGCAACAAAAAACAATATATTACTTTACTATCTATCAATTTACTTTATTCCCCCCCCACACATGTTATATTGCCTTTGTAGTTTGTTTTCTGCATGCAGGAGGACCGGTTCCTTGTGTCTGCAGCATTATTGCCACAATACCTCTCATTGATGCAGTAAAGGCACTCTGCACATGCTTGGAAGTACTATATTGTACTACCTTTTCTAGAGTGAGATACAAATACTGAGGTTGGACCTTAGCACAGTTTAAGTTCTGGGTGATTACCTAATCCAAATACCTAAGTGGATTCCAGGTTCTAACATATAACCTGGTTTTTAAAAGAACACAGAACCAAAAATCTAATTGAGGGAAAAGGCCTTGAGACAAGTCTTCATTCTTTTCTCTAATTTACAATACTGTGACTAGATCTAAGTATGAGCAATGTAAATATATTGCATGAATCAAATATGCCCTTTCAAATCTTTGTCAACCCTCATTACTGGAAGAAGAGAAGCACAGGGACAGCAAATAATGTCTTATTCCACTAATAGCATAGCTGCTTAGATGAGCATAACCAGATTCCTGCTTCAGTAGCATAATTATACATAGCACTAAAAAGCAATCTATTTAGTCAATTATAACACATACATTGAAAAAGGTTAAAGAACAAAGTCAATATGATTTACACACCCCCAGTTAAATACTATTCTGCCACAGCCAATAATAATAGATGTAAATAATGCAAATATAATATTGTTGTTGTTTAGTCATTAAGTCGTGTCCAATTCTTCATGACCCCATGGATCAGAGCACACCAGACCCTCCTGTCTTCCACTGCCTCCCGGAGTTGGGTCAAATTCATGTTGGTAGCTTTGGTGACACTGTCCAACCATCTCCTCCTCTGTCGTCTCCTTCTCCTCTTGCCCTCACACTTTCCCAACATCAGGGTCTTTTCCAGGGAGTCTTCTTTTCTCATGAGATGGCCAAAGTGTTGGAGCCTCAACTTCAGGATCTGTCCTTCCAGTGAGCACTCAGGGTTGATTTCCTTCAGAAAGGATAAGTTTGTTCTCCTTGCAGTCTAGGGGACTCTCAAGAGTCTCCTCCAGCACCACAGTTCGAAAGCATCTATTCTTCAGCAGCCAGCTTTCTTTATGGCCCAGCTCTCACTTCCATACATCGCTACTGGAAAAACCATAGCTTTGATTATGCGGACCTTTGTTGACAAGCTGATATCTCTGCTTTTTAAGATGCTGTCTAGCTTTGTCATCACTTTCCTCCCAAGAAGCAGGCGTCTTTTAATTCCGTGGCTGCTGTCACTATCTGCAATGATCATGGAGCCAAAAAAAGTAAAATCTGTCACTGCCTCCGTATCTTCCCCTTCTATTTGCCAGGAGGTGATGGGAGCAGTGGCCATGATCTTAGTTTTTTTCATAATTAATTTTCCTAATACTTACTGAAAATCTGGTGTCATGAAAAGCAACTCATCGATTAATCAAGCATACTACTTTCAATTTATTATTTGCATTTTTTTAAAAAAATATGAATGAAATAAATAATCTGTCTGTCACGTCTTTTGTATATCTAATTTATCTGCAGGAATAAAAATGGCTGGAGACCATTACCTTCATTTTCAGAAGCCTGGCATTTTACCTGTAGCACCAAGTCAAAGGTCCTCTGTGGATTTTCCCTAGAAATATAAACAAGACTGGCAATTAGTCATGCATGCGTCACAAAAATGTAAACCATCTGACTGCATGTTATCTCTGCTTTACCAACACAGCTGACAGCACAAAACATTAAACAGCATGAGAATATTATCCTGCAATTGTACAGTACAAAGTGATTCTTCTCTATCAATCAAGTAACAGTGAGATACAGATAGAATTGCATAAAGTTTCCAGCACAATATTGTTTTAAGTTTACGAAGTATTGGATTACCAACTAGCTAAACAAATTATACATAATTCTCTTCCATAAGGAGCGGAGGGAGTGAAGAATCATGCTGGCCCAATGGCAAATATTTAATTACACCAGATTCCATTAGAAGTAAGTGAATATTAATATTTTACGTACATCTTAATAAAAATATACATCTTAATATATTATGCTAAAATGATTTTCTGCAGCTGATTTTATATCTTAATTGTATTTAACCATAGTTTTGAGCAGCAACGTAATTAATCAAATAGCATATACTAAAAAAAAAAAAAATCTGAACTAGTTTTACAACTTTTGTTAGGAAAATAGCAATAAATTAACTATCAAATACATTACCCCATTTCATTATTTACATATGAATTATATTTATACCCTGACTTCCTCCAGGAAAAAAACATAATAGCCCCATTTGAGAACATTCAGTCAACCAGTCACTAAGTATGCCTGAAGGAAAGGGCCAACCTGGCCTTGCATGAAAGGGAGTTCCATAGTTTGGGGGCAGTGTAGAAAAGCTACTCTCTTGTGTCAAAAATAGCACTTTGAATTGTTCCTGGAAATGGACCAGCACCAAACTGATATTAAACCAAGAAGCGCTCTAATTGTTCAAAAACAACAGAAAGGGGAATATGGATTAAAGTAGAATTATATTACAATTCAGAAAAATTATAAAGGAAAGGCATTATATATATATATATCTGCCCTTATGAAGGCTGCCAATTTTTAATCTCCACAAATCAAATTTAAATTTGAAACACTGCAGCAGCTGACACTGAAAGCGCCCTTACCAGTGAAGAGCTTACATTTAACTCCATAATATGACACTGAATCCAACTAAATGAACATAGAGTATTTCATCACTGTATTCCACATTATTTGGAAGAATAAAAAATTAAATTGTCAATTTAATTGTTTAAAAGTTACTAAAGCAGTTGCTCCCAAATGCCTGTGCTAATCATTTCTATCTCAAGGGGGACAGAACCAACCCCCTTCCACTTTCGATCCTTTTCCCCACATGACACCTGGAGATAATCTTGCTCTCCCCCAATCAGGTGAATCGCGATTTATAAAACTGAGCTAGCTCAAGGATGCTCAGTAACTACACCCAAGTTAGAAAGTCTTCATCAGACATAACGTACTTCAAAAAGATGTGCACGTTTCAGCATGATGGGCTGATACCCAACAGTTGAAGTAAGCAGTAATCATTTACAGAACAGCAAAAATGCATGGATTTTTGTTTTTTAAAAAAGGCAGTTGCCTCCAACACTACTAGACAAGTAAAATCTGTCTAGTGGCTGGGAAGGAGGAACTGGCACAAATGCACCACCTTAAAAAAGCAACCAACAAGAACAGAAAAATGTTAGGTGCGTAGATTACAAAGCAGCCAGGATTCCTGAGGGCTGGCTAAACTAACACTAACTCAGCTGGGGCTGGGCTGACTCCAAACCTCTTCTAACTACGGGGACTGGAAATTACTTAAAACTACCAGCACTGTAGCCTATTTTGTGCCAGCACATTCACTGTGAATCCAGGCTGAGAATGGTTTTGGATCCTGTGTAATTCAACTCTTTCCTCACTCCTCCCCCTTTCTATCCCTCTTCTGGCTCCTCTGCCAGCAGATCTCAGCCAAAACAACAGTGGTACGAGCAGATATACCAATGGGCGGCAGACCTGAGATCAGGCGGTGCAAAGCAGGTATGCTGCACAAGGGCGGCCGTGCCGGACAAGGTCTTCCCTTCCACTGCAAACCCACTACAACTGATCTACCTATGTATTTGAATTACACGGTTACACTGTAGCTTCGCCTACTAAAACAACAAGGACAACAAAACTTCTTTGCATAAACAAGGACAGCAAAATATTTCCAAATTGAAACAAAGTGGCTCTATCTCCAGAGCCCTTCCTGCAAAGAGTTTCATTTGCTGGTGGGAAATTAAACAGTCTCACTACTGCTTTTTAAATATGAAAATCAAAAACAATAATGGCCATGATGACTCAAACACCAGCAAGCCCTAGGGCAGCTGGAGACGGAAGATTACATGTGGTCGCTGGTACTTCCCTACTCCTTCTGCCCAAATGAAAAAACTGTGATATTAGACATTACACACTATGTCGGAGTACATCATGTCTTGAATGGGCTTTTTTTAAAAAATGTGACAAATAGCAACTGGGGGGGGGGAAAGGACAGAAACAGAAAAAACATGGGAATGCTACAGTCTAGCACAGTGGTTCTTAACCTTGGGTGACTCAGGTGTTTTTGGACTGCAACTCCCAGAAGCCTTCACCACCAGCTGTGCTGGCTGGGGTTTCTGGGAGTTGCAGTTCAAAAACACCCGAGTAACCCAAGGTTAACAACCACTGGTCTAGCATGATCATAGTCTGGATTCTCACAAATAATTGAGGAAGCAATTGGTCTCACTAAAAATAGCAACTGGGAACTACCCAAGGGGAGAAAAAACTACAGTTTTTGCAGCAAGACCTCCCCTGTTGCACCACAGAGTAGCTCTGGTTCTGTTATCAGAGCATCCTCAACCAAGACCCGTCTCAAGCAGCACAGGCCTTAAAAACAGAGAGAATAAGATCCCAGAGGACTGGAGAAGTCAAGCTGCACTAGTAGATGTGGCGTTTACTCTGTGGCCCCTAGTTGTTGCACCAGACAAAGAGCTCACCAAGTATCCCAACACGCCCTTTAACACGCTGCCACCAACTGATCTCTTTATCAACCTATATCTCCTATGAAAGACTGAGGTCCATTCCATACTGAACTTTTAAACAGAAACAGCTTTATTGATTACACGTTGTTTTAGGAATAGTTCTTAAACACATTCTTAAAGTTACACCAAGCTTCAGTATTTTACTTTAACCTCTTCTATCTTAATTAATACAGGTCATGCTCTGACTAATCACTCCTTAAACACTCTCTCTGCCTCAAACCCCCAAACTCTTTCTGTCTTCTCTGTCTCTCTCTGACTGAACTCCCTAGACTCTGACTCCCCCCTCCCTCCTGGTTTCTCTGGCTCCGCCTCCCAAGAGCTCCCATTGGTGCAGGCCAATACCATTATATATATAGGAAGACATGGTGTTCACTACAGAGGGTAATGCTCATGGAATTTCATTACATCGAAGGAAATGTCTTTGCACATACACACTGCATTACGTTTACTAGTCCATCTGATGTCCTCTATTTGGGGGCTTAAATCAGTGGTTCCCAACCTTGGGTAACTCAGGTGTTCCTGGACTGCAACTCTCAGAAATCCAGGAAAGCACAGCTTAGTGGTGAAGGCTTCTGGGAGTTGCAGTCAAAGAACACCTGGGTTACCCAAAGTTAGGGACCACAGGCTTAAATAAATTCCATTTAGTTATTGGCTGAAAATTTTTAACTGAAATATAAATACAGACACCTACCACAATGACTGCATCTTTGAAAGAGATAGCCAATGCTAGTGTCTAAGGGATGGACAGGTAACCTGGTGCACTTGAAATGTTTTTGAATTATATAACTCTCATAAATCCCAATAATGGGTTAGACTGGCTGAGCCCTCAAAAAGATACACAATAATGCATATCTCTGGCTTAAGAGGCAGTGGTGAGAATATTATGGAATGATATGAGGAGCTATGAGCAACCAATAAGTTTATTTAGGTAAAGGTAAAGGTTCCCTTTGACAATTTGTCCAGTCGTGTCCGACTCTAGGGGGCAGTGCTCATCTCCATTTCCAACCTAGCGTTTGTCCAAAGACAATCTTCCATGGTCATGTGGCCAGCACGACTAGAAACGGAACGCTGTTACCTTCCCACCATGGTGGTACCTATTTATCTACTTGCATCTGCATGCTTTCAAACTGCTAGATTGGCAGGAACTGGGACTAGCAATGGGAACTCACTCTTTCGCATGGATTCGATCTTACGACTGCAGGTCTTCTGACCTTGCAGCACAGAGGCTTCTGTGGGTTAACCCGCAGTGCCACCACGTCCCTCTAAGTTTATTTACAAGAATGTAATTAACACGGTAAATAATAGATCCTCAGAGAACACTATAATTCTAGCCTACTAATAAATGAACACTTTTTGTGCTAAAGAACCAGCACTAGCATCTGACACAGATATCACCTTTGTTAAAGTCATATGAAATGAATAATAAGGACATCAGATGAAAAGCCAAATCTAGTGAGTGCTGAAGAAACCACTGAACGTGCACATCTTAGATTCAGGAAGGTAAACAATGGAAGAATGCAAAAAACCAAGAAGGGTGTAAATAGTGTTAACTAAGACCTTGATGTTAGGAAAGTGTGACAGCAAGAGGAGAAGGGGACGACAGAGGATGAGATGGCTGGACAGTGTCTGCGAAGCAACTAACATGAATTTGACACAACTCCGGGAGGCAGTGGAAGATAGGAGGGCCTGGCGTGCTCTGGTCCATGGGGTCACGAAGAGTCAGACGACAAGCATGTTATAAACTGCAAATTAAATCTCATAAAAGAGTCATAACTGCAAACTATCAAAGTGCTTCAGTTTAACAACAGGCAGTAGATTTCAAGATATGTAAATATAGTCGTTAGCTCAGATTCACATTTTGCCTCCCTTCCTCAGGCCCACAAAGCTCTAAACCTGATCAAAACTGTAATTAGTGCTCAATCATTTCCATTCTGGAAAATCTTCCATTAAAAATTTGCCTCTATTTCAACACATTTTCATTCATAATTAGAAAGACAATTGCATCTTATATATTTTATTCTTTCAGGATAGAAAGTATCTTTTGTGGCAGGTATCTATCTGTTTGATTTCCCATGTCCACACAAGATCTCTACTGAGAATAAGTCTCAGCAGCAAGGCTATGGGTGTGTGTGTGTGAAAGACGCTTTCTGAATGACATTACTGTTCCAGAGCACACAGCTGCTTGTCCTCGGCAGGGCTTCTCCAGACATCTGGAAAAAGGAAATGAAAACCACACCTCAAGTGGCTGAGGAGCAGATACAGCTTGTGGCCCATAGGTTTACATCACTGCTTTAGGAAAAGAGTGAAGTGCAATTAATATTCCAATCAGATTTGCAATTTCCTCCTATTACCTACAGTGGAGGGGAGTTCAATCAGTAGACTGATCACACATCTTGCTGTGTTGCATCAAATGTGGTCTACTGCCTCTTGGATCCAAACTGCTGTAGCCGTGCCATGGATGAAAGGGGTGAGGTGTGGGATAATGAAGTCCTGTTTAAAATGTCCATACCTACATTCAGTCACTACTTCCTCGTGCTCTTCAGCCAGAAGAAGTAACTAGTCCACCAGTAAGAGCTTTGAAACTGGTGAATGGCAAGGGCAGAACTTTTCTGGCACAGATTCACATATTTTGAATGACTTTCATAGGAATTTATTTATTTATTTATTTATTTAGTTAGTTAGTTAGCTATTTAGTTATTTATTTGATTTGATTTGATTTGATTTGATTTGTATCCCGCCCATCTGATCAAATAGACCACTCTGAGCAGCTTCCAATAAAAGAACATATACATATGTATGATCCCTCTTTCTCGGCCTTTAGGGGAATTTTAAATGCTTATTTATTCCCACTCAGCGTTGGTTAGCATACGGGGTCTTTTATTAAGATTTGATCTCTTATTAGTTATATCTGTTCTGTTATTTTAGTTATGTGCATTTACTATAGCTTTTAAGGTATGATTAATTTTTATTTGTACTTTTAAATGAATTATACAATAATCTGCTTTGAACCAGGTTTCACCCTAAAAAGCAGACTAGAGAATCTGTTAAATAAAAATAATAAATAACTATTTATCTTTACTATACTACTATTCCCCTCCAGTCTACATTCAATAAGATCAAGAGGGGCCACCAACCATGAAAAATCCAAGCCAGACCAACACAAGGACCGAATTTCAAGGAAAATACTGGATGGCATCATAATTCCCTACATATAAAAGAGACCTATAATAAAATCCTGTGCATGTTTACTCAGAATTAAGTCTCTCTGCATTCATTAGAGCTCATTCCCAGTCAATTGTGCACAGGACCACAGCATTACATGTGAGAATTGCTCCTGGAATCGCTGCAGTATAATTTCGAAAGTCTGAGAGCAGAGGTACCCATGATGACTGGGTTCTCCAACGTGCTGGGACAGACTAACACGGCTACTTCTTTGGAAGATTCTTAACTATAACTTCAACCTTCTGTCACAGAAACTAGATAGACACGGCACACTTTAATGTCTGTGAATTACTGCTGTACTTCCTGTTGTGCATATTTTTAAGTTTGCTCTTACAATAAAGTCTTTAAAGTTTACTCATCACCTCCCACAATATTTAAAGTGTCAGACCAGATCTCCAAAGTAAGACAGGCTTATATATCTGTTCCAGCTGGATCATCATAGATAGATTAAAACCACTTTGCAAACAAAGAGATTGAAGCTCTTATCACTTTAAAACTACTCAGAATATAAAGTTCAGCAGGTCTTTTGAGGTCAAGAGCTTAAGTGCAAATATGAGCAAAACCCAATGTTTATCGTCTGCTTCACCGAAAAAAGGATCTCCTTGAAAATCCGTTAATGATTTAAAATATATAATCATTTATACTCCAATCAGGAAATTATTAGAATAGTGAAATGCAGGCTTCTGAATTTGGTGGCACCAACCTATTAACATCTGTTGCTCATAGTCACCTGTTTCCTTGCCAAACTACCACCTCACAATCCACTCCTAAAATACCTATAATTGTCAGACTTATTGATGAGAAAGCATCATTTCATAGCACCTCGCAGAGTGCCTTGCCAAATTGCACAGTCCCGCTAACATGCCACACGTACATCTAAGCATGCACAGACTTTAAGGTGAAAACTTCCTGGAGCTAAAGATCATTTTTCTAGAAAGTTAAAATATTGTATTGTGGTCCTGCCAAATCTGGAACCAGAGGGACGATATTGTCTCAACTGTGCACTGAATGCCTGTTGTTTTCAATGAGACTGAGAATGTGTGCAGTAGTTAAGGGATGAAGGTGTTTCCTAATGCTGGCAGCAGCTAGAGTAGACCAGAAAAAAAAATAGTGGCCAGGTCTGTTCTTCTGCCTTTAAGGCACCTAGTTTGAAATCTGTAGCAGTTTTCCACAGCTTTGGGATCTACTGTGCCCAAAGCCAGTAGTTCTTGCATGACAATAATAAAATGAACATTAAACATGCCCAGTGTGTAAGAAAGAAAAATCTTTGTTATATCAGATTTATGTTGACTGTTCATTAAGAGGGAAGACAGAAAGGAGGGAACAAAAAAGAAAGGAGGGGTCTCCTGGGACAGAAAGAGAAGGGAGGGATACGAGTATTATTTTCAGAATTTTTTAGAAGGAATGGTCAGGTGTTCCCTCCAGGAGAGAGGGGGACTGAATCATGGAGGTGGCCTTTCTATACACCAGATGTTCAGTTTGAGAAAGAATGGATGAGAGTGCCTTCCTTGCAAGCATGCTTAGGATTGAAGCCACCCAGAGTCAGACGTCTGACAAAAGCGTGGATGGGTGTGGGGAGGGGAGGGGAGGAGGAGGAAGGGAGGGAGGCTGTCCTCCACCGATTCCCAATGGCCATCCCCTCTTCCCTTCTCGCTGACATCAGCTCCCCACCCAGGCGAGCTGTTCCCTCCTCACCACCACCACCACCACCCGGCGCGTATTCAAAGTGGGGCTGGGGGAGGCTTTGAGGCCTAAACTGACGCCTCCCCCTTCAGTCCCTCCTGAGCCCCACTTCCAGCGGCTCCCCAGCCAGGAGCCCCGTGCGCACACTTCTCCTCCTCCACCACCACCACCACCTCTCGTCATAGCGCGCCCGTCACTCACTTGATCCTGCTGTCCATGGTCTCATCTCGAGGAGGGGGGGTGGGGGCTGAGGTGGCGGCTGCAGCAGCAG